CTTTAATTCCCTAGTTGTAGGACTTCCATTCAGCCAGATTTCAGGTGGTTCTGAATGATGGGTGTTCTGAAGATTAGTTGTATTTTTTATGTGGTTATGGGAGGATTCTCGTACCTTGTTTACCTACACCTCCATCTTGACTAGAAGCCAAAAATTGATCCATTCTTAAGTTGCATAACTCAGTTGTCTCTCTCCTACCTGTTTCTAACATGCCCTGGCCTTTGCCTTCCACCCACCCTTTTCCTGGAAATGCACGCTGATGCAGCTGTCATAAGTCAGTTTCCACCCCTGATGGAGACTGTACTGTTCACCCGCCGGACCATGGAGAGGCTGCATGGAGGAGGGGTGTGCGGATCACTATGATTATGGCCCATGTGCCTCTCTCTGTCCCTTGCTTTGTGTCCACTGCTTCACGCACCATCTGTCTTCCTTAACTGGCCACAGTATTAAAACCAATTATGTGATTTGGACTCTTTATCAAATCTATTTAAAGGAATTTTATAATCATGAACCTGAATTTTAAAATCAATTCAGGTGGGTCTTTTCTGTTTTTCTCTTAAAAATACTAATTCACTTCATCTTGGGTGGCTTGGGCCTGGTTCCCCCCACCCCACCCCACCCACCCTGCTCTGTGGATTACAGGGACCTTGACAAGTAAGTCTTTAATTTCTGAAGTTGTATATTCCTTGGCTTTTCCATTTTGTCAAAGTATTATTTAATTAACAAAAGGCATACTAAGGTGTACAGAAATATGCTTTAAAGTTGTTTATTCCCCAAATAGGACATATGCTGGTTTCCATTCAATGCATCGGGGCACATTTATATCAGTGACTAACAAGCTTTCTGATTCCATCAGCGAAAAACAGATGATGTTTAACAGTGGAGCTGCCTTTGTGTTTGTTATTGTTCGAGTATGAACTTGCTCTTTGCACGGCTCACACAGCCATGGAGACCGTGTGGAACAATATATGGCAGCTGTTCCCGGCCATCCACACAGGCGTCATGACTTCCGCTTGGTTTAACTTGTTCTGACAATAAATAACAAGAGCTGCTCTGCTTTGCTGGAGGAAGCCTGGCCGTTTCTAACCAGCAGCCGAGCTGGGCCGGCTGCCCTCAGGTGTGGTGCTGGCAGGCCTGCATGTCTGAAGTGAGGAAGCGCTCAGACAGGCAGCACCACCCTCCCCCGTGCTGGGTAAGGAGGGAGATACTGGAGTAAAAGGTGGAAAAAGGCTGTTGGTCCACACTCTAGGCCAGTGGTTGGCAAACTGCGGCTCGGCAAACCGCAGCTCACGAGCCACATGCGGCTCTTTGGCCCCTTAAGTGTGCCTCTTCCACAAAATACCGACTTCTGCGCAAGGGCCATGAAGTTTCAATTATTTTCGTTGCTACTTCATAACTGTAATGTTGCTACTGTTATGAATCGTAATGTAAATATCCGATATGCAGATGGTCTTAGGCGACCCCTGTGAAAGGGTCGTTCGACCGCCAAAGGGTTCGTGACCCACAGGTTGAGAACCGCTGTTTTAGAGGGTCAAGTGGGCTTTTGAATCCCATTTCCAGGGTCCCCATCCCCAAGATTTCTATAAAATGCTGATGCTCATGTGCTCATGGTCTGGCCCTCAGACCACATACATGTTTCTGCTTTGTTTCTTTGTCACCCAGGGATAAAGCTTAGTTCCTCGCTGGTTTCCACAGGAAATCAATACATATTGAGCACTGTGCACGTTATTATAAATTTGCTGAATATTTAGGTTAGGAGGGGGGTCACATGACACATCGATTCACTTCCGTTTTACTGGTTCCACTGCATCCCAACCTCCCTCTCCCATCTCCTGGGTCCCCCTCCAGAACATTCCACAGGTCTCTCTCCTTTGACATGCAGAACAGTGTCCAGTCCCCAGTGCTCCCCCAAGCTGGTTGATCAGGAATTTTCACAAGGGCAGTCCTTTGGGTATTATCTTAAAGAGAAATTTTCATAAGAGCTACTAAGTGGAGGGAGAAAAAAAAAACACTTCACTTTATCCATCTTGTTTGAGGGGCACTCCCCCAAATTGCCTAGTAATTATAGCTCACATTTACTGAGTGCTCACTACTTACAGACCCCAGTGCTAAGCAGACACATTCAGATCCACAGCCACTCATAACTCGGAGAAGCTAAACGATTTGGCCAAGTCACTCAGCTAGAAAGTGGCAGGGCTGGGATTTGAACCCAGGGAGCCCTTTTGCTACACTGCCTACGTGGCCAGAAAGGCCGCGCCCACCAAGGCACAACCCCAGCGGCTGGAGGCCAGGACAGCCTTGAGCTAAACCATAGAGGACATTTCTTGTTGATGAGAATCATTTCTGAGCCCCAGAGGGTCACTGGGAACACTCGGCTCCCGCCCCTTCCTTCTGTCCCCGTGGCTAGATTATGTGTGGCATCCTGAGCTGTGGGAGACCCTGATGATCCTTGGCAGCTCAAACGCCACGTCACCCACACTGTTGCTGCCGCCATCTCACAAGTGAGGGAACTCAAGTGAAAGGATGGCTCTGATTTAGGATTAAGACCCCACACACTTCCCCAGCCCTCTGGGCATTACGGGAGAATGACCCGGAAAATCAAATGCAGGGAAGTGTCCCAAATGTAGGAGTCTTGTTTGAGGCATAGTAGAACCTATTAGCTTGAGAAATTGGTCTGGAAATCTTATTAAAAGAGACAAATAATTCCACATTCTCTCCAGACTGAAAATATTGGGGGTAACTGACTTTCCCTGATGCCTCGGACCCCTGTACCTGATGTCGGGATCACGGTCAACTTCTGGCAAGGCCAAATTCAATGCAAATGATAAAGGCAATTAGTTTTTTAATGGGCAGTTCTGATGAGCTCTGATTTCTCTGGCCAGTCACAGACTTATCAGTGCTGGTCCCTCACCACTGGGAAGGGTGCAAGGCAGGAGAGCCAATGGCAAAGAGAAATGAAGGTCAAATTGTGGATCTGTCATAACCGCCCAGCTCAGCAGATGACTGTCCAGCCACAGGGCCCCTGTGACAGCCACCCACACACATGCTCGGTTAACCCCAGTGGAGATGCCAGGAAAGCAACCACCATTCGTTAGGTCTTTGCTATTTGAGACAGGTGATAAGAAGAATCCTTCAGCTTTAAATGTGAGGCATTATCATAATTGTTATTTTTGTGGAGCGCTGATAGGTTCAATAATACTGTGAATCGCTGGGATTCAGTGGGTGCTTATGCCATGCCTGTTTGTTCACATGCGCCATCTCCTTTATTCCCAGAACAAGCTGACAGTGTAGGGGTCGGCCAACTTTCTCTGTGAAGGACAAGATAGGAAATATTTTAGGTTTTGCAGGCTATGTGGTCTGCTCAGCTCTACCATTGTAGCTCGAAAGCAACCACAGACAATACTACATAAACAAAGAAGTACAGCGGTATTTCAATAAAACTTTACTTACAGAATCAGTGCCGGCCAGGTGTGGCCTATCCTGTGACCAATATTATCCCTGAGCCGGAATTTGGGTTGCACAGCTAGGATGTTTGGAGATGTGTGCTTTCTCTCTCCTTCATCCTCCCTCCTCCTGGCTTTTCCATTCTGGTTCCAGTTCTGGAGAGAGAAAGAATAGAGAAAATGCCCTTTTGCATGTGACTGCTCTCTCTCCACAAAGGGACATCGATCCCTTTCATGAAAATCCTGCATCCGTGGTAGCTGTGAGGAGGCCACTGGGTTGCTGTTTGCAAACTGGCGTAGGCTGTGGCAGACCAAGTGGCCTCAGAGGCCTCGGTGGGTCTTGTGAATCTCGGCTCCATCCTCTGGGCAACCCCCAGGTGGAGGGTCCATGCTGGAGTGGCCCCTGACAAGCATACAGCCTCAACTTGGCTCTTTTCCGTGCCCAATGCTGAGGCCTATAGACCTGGACAGCGTCCACCCCCATGATCCTTGGGAAGCAGGAATTTGAGGAAGCACATTTGCCCCTCTGAGCCACATCCCCTGCCAACTACCTCAATGTTCTTTCTCCAACTGAAGTCATCTGGTGGCTCAACAGATAGAGAAGAATGAAGTGTCTGTCTTCTTTCTTCATGAGACTATAAACCTAAGGAATCACTTGTGATCTTAGGCCATGGGTTCTCAATCTCTGCACTATTGATATTGGGGGCCAGAGTCCTGGGTGGGGGAAAGGTATACCCTCATTGGAGGATATTGAACAGCATCCTGGCCTCCACTCACTAGATACCCATAGAAACCCCCAGGTGTGACCATCAGCGATGTCTCCAGACATTGACAAATGTCCCCTGGGTGACAAAACCACCTCTGGCTGAGACACCGTCTTAGGTTGAGGGGCCACCGTTGCCTTTGCTCTCAGCTGTAGGATCTGATTCACAATTCCAGAAAAATAGGAAAGATCACAGACAAGACTTCTCAACACCATGCTGCATCACCTTTTGTAAGGTAAGCATAGTTATCCCCATTTTACATATTAGAAAACTGAGGCCTGGGTCACACAGCTAGTAAGGAGCAGAGCCTGGATTTGCACCCAAGCATGTCTGATGCCAAAGCTTATATATATTCTAAAGTGTTCATGATCTGATCATGAAATGATTGTAAAGGTTTTCCTGGAATGGGGAAGTGTTTGCCGTGGTTCACATTAGTGAAAAGAAAACTAGAGGTTATACCTGCCCTTCCCTTGGAGTGTTCTACCTAAGTCTGACAGCAGCGCTTCGAGGTAAATACCATTCTCCCCATTTTACAGATGAGGAAAGTGAGGCCCAGCAAGTCTAACAAATGGTGTGAAATCATCACAGCAAAGTGTTTCTGTGTTCAGAGCTTCGACTTTTCAACAACACCCCCCAAAATGGGTGGCTGCTCCCCAACAGGGAAGCGGAGTCTAATTTCCTACATGACACGCTGCATCTCTAGCCAGTGTGTTCTGCCTACGATAAGAAAGGCTTAGTGATACATGAGACTAACGCCCTCCCACCCGGCCTCTTCCTGTGGCCTCTTTCCCAGCTCTGTATGCAGTACTGGCCTGAGAAGACCTCCGGGTGCTACGGGCCCATCCAAGTGGAGTTCGTCTCCGCAGACATCGACGAGGACATCATCCACAGAATATTCCGCATCTGCAACATGGCTCGGGTAAGTGTGCGGCCACCATTGCATCCCCCACCGCACACACACACAAATAGATGGAGCCTGTGGGAGAGGAACCTGCCGCTAATGAGTGTCCGGGCTGAGCTCTTGGATCATTTCGTCCTTGGGGAAGCGATGCCTCTGCCGATTCCAGCTCCAGCTCCAGCTCCAGCCCCAGCCATGGTTCCAACACAGGTTCGCACAGGGCGACATCCCGCCTGCCATCTGCCTGTTTCCTGACACACTTGCTGCCATGTAGACAACACTTAGAAATTAGCACTTTCCCGCTGCGTCGCGCTGTTTTGGCAGTAGATGCAGCCTTTGATTGGATCCAGTAAGCTTTGGGCTAGACCCTGGGAACCACACCAAAATGAAGAAGAGCCGCTTCCAAGAGGAAACTCACTGGCTGGGAGGAGGAGTATGTGTGGAAAGGAGCAGCTTAGTAACCTACGGAATGGTGGCTAACTAAAGTGACATGGGCCTTTATTGGGGCCCAGGGTGAACAGAACTCAGCCCCTGCCTTCGGAGTTCACTATCTAATGCAGTGATGGCGAACCTTTTGAGCTCGGCGTGTCAGCATTTTGAAAAACCTTAACTTAACTCTGGTGCCGTGTCACTTATAGAAATTTTTTGATATTTGCAACCATAGTAAAACAAAGATTTATATTTTTGATATTTTATATATTTAAATGCCATTTAACAAAGAAAAATCAACCAAAAAAATGAGTTCGCGTGTCACCTCTGACACGCGTGTCATAGGTTCACCATCACTGATCTAGTGGGAAAGTGAGATATATTCTGGCACATGAACCTCAGGGAAAGGGCAGGCTTTTCCTGAGGAATGGAATGTTTGAATTGGGTTTTGAAGACTGAGTAGGAGTTTGCCAGGTTGAGAAGGGGTTCAGGGCAGTCATGGCAGGAGAATCAGTGTGCACAAAAGTGTAGAGATGAGTAAAGAGAGAGTCTGTGACTCTCCCCGTGATGACATGGCTGAGACCTCATTTAGTCTGTCCTCCACCCAATGCTGCAACAGCCCTAACAGCCTCTCTGTTCTCAGCCTCAGGATGGGTATCGTATAGTCCAGCACCTCCAGTACATTGGCTGGCCCGCCTACCGGGACACGCCCCCCTCTAAGCGCTCTCTGCTCAAAGTGGTCCGGCGGCTGGAGAAGTGGCAGGAGCAGTACGACGGGCGGGAGGGACGCACCGTGGTCCACTGCCTGTGAGTACTGTACTAGGGAGGCATCTCCAGGGCCACAGGGTGGTGGGCGATAGGACGGCCTTGAGGATGCTGGCCACAAACACTAGTCCTAGGCACGCCTGGCTGCACCACATCTCAACATCCCTGAAAGGCCAATGGGAGTGTATTCAAATAATCTCAACCCTTCAATGGACTGGGGTTGCCCTGAACTAATGTTATGTGACATATTTACTGATGCAAAACCTGGTAGCCTTTCCCCAAACATGGAGTGTGGTCAGACCATGCCCCTATGCTCCCAGGAGGCAGGGAAGTCCCACCCTCCAGCAGGAAGCAGGATGTGGCCTGCCAGTCACAAGAAGGCTCAGGATGAAGAGGGTTCCATCAACTAAACCCTCTTCTATTATTTCCTGAAGAAGAAAAGGAGGAAAGGGGAATGGGTTAAGTGAGCTCAATGCCAGGCAGTTAAAATGAGTCACCTCATTCCATCTGTGAGGTAGATTTTGTCATGTCACAGTGAGAAGACTGAGGCACAGGCGGTGAGGCATCAGGCAGTTAAGAGAGGAGCTTTGATTAGAATCCACTGGCCTCCAGGCTAATGTGCCATCCATTAACCCACACTCCCACTCTGAGTAAACCAAGGGGTTCATCCACTGTGTCTGCAACACTTTTCCCAGGGCACCGTGGGCTCAGGTCGGCTGTGTTCATACTTCCATTACTGAGGTGAAATGGAACCTTCACCTCCTGTCTTAGGACAGGCATAGCTGGGGGCACAGGGGTTCCAGGTCAAACAGACCCTGATGTCATCACGCAGGGTGGAGGTCAGGTCCCTTAGAGGACTGTGGCTGACAAGCTGTCTTCAAGGAAATCACTTAATTTTATGAGCCTTAGTTTACTCATCTGTCTAATGGGTACATTGAATTAGGTCATTGTAAGGCTCTGTGACATATTTAGAAAGTAAACGCAATTTATCTGCCAACATACAAATCTGCAATATCATGGTAGCAAATATGCAAATGCCTGTGTCCAAGTCCACCATAGGAGTATAAAGAGAAGGATCCTAGAGACCTCGGACCCAAAACAAACCGGGAGTGATGACAGCTCGTGTGGAACATTTGATTCACAACCATTCCCTTTGCTTCTTAGAACCTTAAAGTCATTGGGGAGACATGACTGAGAGGGCCCCCTCTTTAAAAAGGTGTGTTAAGGAAGATTGGGCCAGAGACTTCCCCTTTTCAGAATAAGTATTTGTGGAGTTAGTGGAGGCATTAATAACACCTACTGACCTCAGAATTGTCTTTTCAAAACCAGCTTATTCTCTTTCTAAAAGGAGGTGCACACGCATGTCAGAAAAGTCACAGAGCTTAAAGCGAAGTTCAACACACACAGCTCAAGGGCCATCACCAGTAGCAATCCCCCTTCCCAAGGGATGCCCACTGTAGTCCAGGAAGATGCCATGAGGTGTTGCATGTCTCATTGGTGGGTGACATCAGCCAGGCTGAGCTGGCTCTGCCCACATCCCAGAAACTGGCAGCTGGTTCCCTGCCAGCTAACCCTGCTCCCTTCAGTTCCCTCCCCCACACTCAGGTGGCTCTCCTTCAGCCCAGAGCCACACCCATCTCACCAGGGTCTCATTCCACTGGCCCGAGATGCCTCTTCCTCTTGGGCTCTGCTGTTCTTGCTCCAGAAAATACTGAACCCTCCCTCCTGGGGGTCCCTCCCTCCTCTTTCCTGTGATTGGTTTTTATCCCTCTCTTCCCTGTCCAAGGTGACCAGCAGTTTGAACCAAAGGAAAGCGCAGGGGTGTCCTTCTATCAGCAGGGACCTTGGCACCCCTGGGAGCCACCGTCACCAAAACAGACACTGAAATGTAGGCGCTGGCTAGTGAATGAGGGCAATTGTCTGTACTTGAAGCATCTGGTCGTTGGATGTCCTATAGATAAAACATCTGGGAGATCAAGTGCCTTAGTTTCATCCAGATGTTCCTTAGACACAGACCATTACATGAAATCATTAGTTACTCTTGGCAACACGCCCAGGAGTTCCGAATCAGGCAGATTCCAAAAGGGACTCTCTGTAAAGAGTTGAGATGTCTCCATGAAGATGGCATATGGAGGCTCAGAAAGAAGGAGTGGCAGGGAGCTGGCCCTGCCAAGGGCTATCTCTACTCTCCAGAGCTGTAGGGTCTTGCTTACCCAGGTGTATAAATAGAGACTTATCACTTCAGGATACAGTATCTCAGACCCAGCCTGGCCCCCACCCAAACACCTGGGCTGGCTGTCCCTAGTGGGTGGGAAAACTAGGCGGGAAATCATACACAACCTTCAGCTGTCTTCACTGGATGAGTGGGTGGACCCAGAGCATCCCTTTGGACAAGGATGCAGGCACATGAATAAAGATACCATGAGGCCTGAAGGTTGGCGTCGGTGTGCCATGGTGACTATAACCTGCTCACAGAACCAAGGAAACATCAAGCTAACGGAACTCTCCCGGGTCCTCTAGTCCAACCCCTCCATTACATGAATGGGAAACTTGGAGCTCAGACAAGGAGTGACTTGCCCAAGGTCACAGCAGGTTCGGGGCACGCGGACCCTGACACGTGGCTCGGGTTAGGGCTTTCGCCAGTGCCTTACCTTGCCTTGGCCAAGGTAGCCACTCCCCCATGCCAGTGGGGCACCCAGGACTCTGGCTCACCCTTCCCTCTGTGTTTAGAAATGGGGGAGGCCGCAGCGGGACCTTCTGTGCCATCTGCAGCGTGTGTGAGATGATCCAGCAGCAGAACATCATTGACGTGTTCCACATCGTGAAAACGCTGAGGAACAACAAGTCCAACATGGTGGAGACCCTGGTGAGTGTCCCGAGAACTGTTCCCCTCCAGGCAGGGCGTGACGCTAGTTCCCTGTGCCAGAAGAAACCAGCGTCAAATAGTAAAACACTCGGTGACTTAGCACCTACAATCGACATCCTTTGCTTCCAGTCTCACCAACTTCTCTTTCCTGCAGGGCAACCCACATATTAACCCTGATACACCCCACTGTTTTACTCTCTGCCCGTTCTTTAGGGAAGTACCACTAACCCAGGCTTAGGGGAAGGGCTTCTGGATTGTAGAGTGTGGATTATGTTTTGGATCCAGTTCCATCCCAGTCTAATTGACTTAGGCTAATTTTATGAATACGGTATTGGGAGAGGACACTGGAGAAAGGGATGGAAAGAGACTGGGCAGATAGAGCCCCCAATGAGAAGACCTGGTGCAATGATGGGGACAGACCACACTGTGAGTCTTTAACCTACTCTCAGTGGATCCCCCTCAAAGTCTGGTGTGTAGACCAGCAGTAGCATATGGGAGCCTGGTAGAAATGTTGAATCTTGAGTCCCATCCAAGATCAACTGAATCAGAATCTGCACAGATAATTCTGAGCTGTTAGCACAGATGTAGGTAAAGTTCGTTCCAAAATCGTACCTCTAAATGCATTTTCCTTTCCTTTCCCTCTCTCTCCTGCCTTCCCTTCTTCCTGTCTGCCTCTCTCCTCCTCTCAGGAACAGTATAAATTCGTATACGAGGTGGCATTGGAATATTTAAGCTCCTTTTAGCCTGATGGGATGGGGAGCCTGCCGGAGTCCAGAGGCTGCTGCAGTCAAACCCCCTTTTCTGTGAATGGCAGTGACGGGTGAAGAGGCGGCACCTGGCCCAACTCCAAGGAGAAGACTGGTGGTCTCATGCCTGGGGTGGGCCCTGCACCTTCTGAGGGGCTCCTGGAACTGGGAGATAGGCTCTGAAAGGCCCAGGCTTCTCCTGCACCCCCACCGGCCACAGATTCGGACCCACAACAAGGCCCCGGACTTCCCAGTTCCCCGACCTCTTGCTTCTGCGCTTTCCAAGTGTGTGGACCTCATGGCAAGCCAGCTGGGGGTGCTGGGAGATGCAGGCTCGCTGTACCTCCGGGGCCTGCTTCTCCTTGGGAGTGAGGAGATGTGTCTCCGCCTCCACGCTGTGGGGGCAGTGACTTGGCTCTTGGGGTCCCTGCCATGCTGCCCTCTGCAGTCTCCTTCAGTGACCTGGGGCTGTCCCGAGACCACAGCAGAGGCCCCATCCTGCCCCCCTGCCTGCATGGAGCTAGCCCTCCAGCATTCTGTACCCTCCCCAGCCCGGGCCTTGACCCTCTGTCACTCACGCCAGCCTGCTGGGTCCACAGCACTCTTGGATAAAGGTTTTCTTTGCTTTTTTGTCCTCGGTGGGAGGGGGTGGAACTGCAGGGATGGTGGCTGCTCCTCCTTGTCTGTGAAAAGGGACAACTGCCCGGAGGCAGGGCTCGTGCTGACCCTTGGGTGGCGCCCCCTTTGGGAGAGATGACAGGATAAGATTTGATTATTTTCCAAAGCATATATTAAAAGAAACTTTCTTTTGGGTGATGTAAAATCTAAGTCTCTTATGTGAAAAAAAAAAAGGGAGCGGGGCTGGGAAGGAAGTTTGGGTGTGTAGCTACAGGACCAATCTCTCAGGCCTGTCATCAGGCAACATCCTTAAAGGGTCCCACCTGGGACGGCCCAGCCACTGACGAGGCAGAGTCGGCTAGACGGAGGCCGCTCCTCTGGCTTCTGGGCAGCTGAGTCCCAGCTTTCAGCATAATCTTCCTAGGAAACCCCGCTGCTCTCCTGACAAAGGCCACTGTGGACCAGTTATGCTTTGGTTTAAAATGGGCCGAGGGGATCAGGCCTGGGAAACTAGGGTCCTGCCCAAGGATGTGTGAGTCAGTGACAGGGAGCCGGCATCTGCTAGGCATCTCCTGTGTGTCAGGGTGAACCACTCCGTGTGCCATCCCACAATCTTAGGGACACCCCTGCCCCGGGGAGAGCGCGTGCCCTTTCGTTATCTCCATGTTACGTGAGGAAGCCGAGGCATCTTCCTCAGCGGTGAAATTCTGGGCTCCAAAAAGGCGAATAATGGCGATAACACTTATTTTCCATACTTTCTTCATCCTTTCTCAGCCAAGCAATTATTTTATGGAGGGAAAATAGGGCCAGAAACTTCTGGGCAGAGAACTTCACAAATAGAAATTTAATTCTTTCTTTCTGGTGCCAGTTCTTCTGGGAGGCCCAGAATTTCAGCTCTATTTTAGTGCCTCGTTCCTGGCTCCCCAGGAAAAGCTAGTCTCCTGTAATCATTCCTTCGCCAGTGAAAACCATTCCCTGTTCCCTCGGGCAATGCTGTCTGCCGCCAGAGACTCCCTACCTTGTCTCTCGCAGGGGCGTGGGCTCAGGACCTGTCAGCCTTGGGGTTGCCTGGGATGGAGGAAGCTGCATCGTGGAGGCTGCTCTAGCCCCAGACAGGAGGAATCAGCAGCTCCGAGTGCACTGGGGAAACTGAACCACGGTGCAGCGCAGGAGCCACGGAGCAGGGAGCCTGTCTAGGGCTTCCTAGAGGAGGTGACTCCCACCCCAGTTGGGTCTCCACTGCAGGAAATCCAGGCCAAGATCAGCATGGGCAATGGCAAAGAGGTGTGGGAAGTTCTGGGGTGGGGGCAGTATAGGGGGAAGGGCAGCCCACCCAGAGGTCAGGAGAGGAGCCAGGGTCGGGGGTGAATGCTCCGCCAACAGTGCAGCTTCACCTCATGGGCCACAGGGAGCTCGGGGTGACGCGCTCAGCTCAGTGTTGGGGCAGGCGGCCTCTTCCCCTTCATCAGACACTGTGAAAACACTCCCTTCAGCGTGTGCTCTTTACTATCACATCTGTTTGTCCGCTCATTATTTTGTCGCTGGAACAAAATACGCAGGGGATTGTGAGCTTCTGCTTCTGTGAGAAACAGGGTCTCTGCTCTACCAGGGGGCAGGGTGACCCAGCCAGAGCCCACAGATGCTGCTCCCAGTGGCACGGGCTCGGGAGCTGTCTAGAAGTCCGGGGACTTGATCAAGGAAGGGCTGTCACTTTGGAGGTTCAAAAAGAAACCTCTCAAAGCAAAGGAAGAAAAAGGAGCCCCAGGAAGAACTCACTCTTCTCCTTTCATGGGCCCTTCCCCGTGAGCTCGAGCGGGTCCCCGGGCCCCAGCCCCCACTGGTTCTGCTGGCCTCGCCTGGCTCCAGTCCACGGCTCCAGCCGGCGCTCCCCCAGCCTTCAAAGAGCCTACAGCCTAGCAAATCACCCTGTTATATGCTCCTTTCTCAGATCTCGGCTCATCCATACAGAATGAGGGGACTGAGGCTACTAACACAAATCCTGAGATTTATTCTGCTCAGGAAGGGGTAAAACAGCTGGCAGATAAAAAATGGCAGTGGCTTCTATCCTTTCAAATGGTAGGGATTTAAAATGTGACTTCAGGCAGAAGGAAAACTGTAAAAACTCAGGCCACAGTGGGATAACCAAGGGCCAGTGATGGTTGCCGCCGTTCGTCCCTCATTTCCTCACAACCCAGCCACCTCCCAAGATAGCAGGGCAGTGAACGGGTCTTAGGCCAGTTTACAAAGAAGAAACTGAGGCTGGTGAGTGGAGGTGCCTCCCGAAGATCCCACATGGCCAGGGCTTGGGTGAGATGGGGCACCGGTGCCCAAGAAGTTGAGCTTTACCAAACACCGCCTCCCCCAAGGTACCTTCCCACCCCCCACTTACAGGGGGGACTCACCTTGCTCCATGCAGAGGAAAACTGTTTGTGGTCTCTGTGTCTCCACAAGTGGGACCAGCTTCTCATTTCTGGATACCAAAGGGAGTGCCCTCACTTAGCGCAGGGCCTCGTGGTTCTCACCTCCTAGCTATGTACCCTGTTGGGAGAAGAGGAAGGTATGAACGAGGAGCCAGGAAGCATCCCTACCTGCATATGTTTACGATGTCGGTAGCTTTGTCCAGGTGGAGTCCACACGGTTGCTAATGCAAGCAAACCTGAGCACACACTGCACATGAGGGCCTGGGGTCTGGAAGGCTCTTCACTTTACTTAAACCACAATATTTATGGGTTCCTATGACACACAGGACCCTCCCTGCAGGGGGTGCTACCCGGAAGCACTGTTACCATAGTACAGTTCATCCATTGGTGAGGCATGGGTTGTGATAGAAAGAGCTCAGTCTTCGGTTTCCCAGCCCAGCTTCAATCCCCGCCCAGCCATTTCTCGGCTATAGATTGTTGGGCCAACCAGTTAATAGGAAGAGATGTGAAATGAAGAGCCTCGGCCAATAGAAGAGGTAGATTTGGAAAGCTACAGACAGGAAAACAGGAAGGCAAGGCCAGGAAGTTGGGACCTAAAAGGAATACTCAGAACCAAGGATGCATATGGTCCACTGGGTAAGTGGTCGCTTCTATGACACGGCAGGCCAGGGGATGGGGAAGGACCAGCCAGAACCACCTAGAGCAAGGATGTTGCTTTATGTAAGTCTCGGCATCTTAGGGCAAAGATGATAATTTTCCCTCTGGCCAATCATGTTTATTCACACCCGTTCCCGTTGCTGAGCTAGCTCTTGCTGTATGCCCTCACCAGGACCCACACTTCCTCAGCTCTGGGTGAATCTGTTGTGTGCACAGAGGTGTCAGTCTAGTAAGGCTGCTGCAGACAGCAGACGTGAAGGCCAGGGAGGAGCAGCCAGGAGGCACTGCCCAGCCCAGATCCAGAGCCATTAAAGGAGATGGATAATTCTGCACCTCATTGCCTTAGAACAGAACGAAGAAAGCTGCCCTCCCTTAGCCTGTAAATGGTCACTCCTGGGCTGGACAGACAGGCCATCAGCACCACGATGAGGCAGAAGTAATGCCATGGAAAACATGGGTGATTCCAAGGGTTAAATGAACAGGATCCCAAACCATGATGCCAACAGATTATATTGGGCCAACAGACTTAGGAACAAATGGTCGACCCAAGCTGCAGGGCAGTTCTAAAGATGAGACATGATGGCCATTTCATCTCAAAGCCATGACTTGCCTGCCTCGCCATCTAACTAGTCCTGACTTGCCTGCCAATGATGCCAGCTCCAAATCACAGCTGAATAAAACAGGGAAGCGGGCAAAGTAAGTCCAACTAGAGGAGACCAGCTGAGATTCAGCCTTTTCCTAATTCCCATTCAAGGGCTCCATGTTGGAGGTTCTCCCTGTATCCTTATCTAGAGGTGATCAAATGCAGGGCCTTGGCCTCACCTCCCAGAGACCTGCCTTTGAGGTCACACACTGTCTGAACAACAGGGAGAGAAGTCAGTGGCAGAGAATGGAGGGGCTCTAGTCTCCTCTGGCACACATTTCAGAGTCAGGGACATGATCCTGAGAAGCACAGCAGAGATGTCTAAGTCATATTTGCTCATATGAGCAGATTCTCTTCTGGCTCATTAATAACCAGAGATAGACTTCTGCATGGCATTGGCTGGCTATACAACTGTCTTATAGAGACCAAGGTCACCTCTGTGTCACTCCTACCTACCCTGAAGAGGCAGGAAAAGGTCATCAGAGGGGCCACATTCACCCTCTGAAAGCCACCCATGAATGTTAGGTCCCCAAGATGAGCAGTCAGCACACCCACAATGTTAGACCCCAGGCCTGGCATCCTAGTTATCTAAGAGGTTGGGGATACCCATTGGAGCTGATACAAGGGATGTGGGAGGACTCAGGATGGCAGAGGGTCCATAGGGAAGAGCTACTGGAACATCCTTCTGGATCTGGGAGTTGCTTTGGGTGGTGAGAATTGAACCCTGATCCCTGGTTGGAATGTTCAGAGAATGAGGGTCTGGGGACCTTAGAGTGTTGAACAGAAAGGTATTGGTATGAAAGTCTGGAGCTCAGTGTAATTAATGTAACTTATGGATCACTGATGAGTTAGATCCTTAGATTTGGGGGGAGGAAGGGGGATGTGATGTAACCTGCTACAATTGCAAAACTGAAATACACGTACTTCAGCGCCTTTGAGCTTGCAAGTACAAATCAGTGGACCTCTCATATGATGGTTCAACAAACTCTCAGTGCCTACCATGCCCGCATCTCCCCCATGGAAAATTAATGATATAAGATATTTCTTGGGTCAAAGTGCCCAAAGCTGTATGGAGGCTTGGAGGGCAAATTGTTTTCATCCCAGGTCGAATCAGTCTTCTGAAGGGTCAGGCACAATACTAGTGCCCATATCCTCCACTGGTCTGTAGATTGTTAGAAAATTCAAGCACAGTTTGCTAGTCCCAGGTTGCTCCTGCGAGTGGAACTAGGATCAATGGGTGATACTTAGTAGCTATAAGGAACAACTTGCTGTCTGCCAGAGAGGAAAGGCTGTCCATCTCAGCAACGGTCCAGCAGAAGCCAGGCATCTCTTTAAAGGGAAGCAGGAACATTGCTGTAAGGGCCTTTAAGTTGCTTCCCCTCAGGAGGGTGAGAGCTTATGGAGCTGGGATCATGTTTGAACTCTTTCATTCCTGCAGAGCACAAAGCCAAGCAGGTTGTGCTTGGTTTATGCAGGTTGAAGATCCCCTCTCCTACCCGAATCTCCCCACCATGCAGGCCCAGATGCTGCTCTGGCACCAGATCTAGGGCTCATCCAGGCTGGTTATCACCAAATAGCCCAGAAAGAACAGCTGCTTTTGTATAGAGCCAATGCCCAAGATCCCTGACTAGACCAGCCATAAGGTGAACAAGGCTGTCAGTGGGAGCCAGAACCAGTCAAGGTCCAAGCAGGACCCAGAACAGGATTTTGCTTACCACATACATTATCTCCAGAGGTTAATTCTACCCCCATGCCCCACTCCCCACTCCAGGCCTGTTGGAGTAGACTGCAAAGCAAAAGCACAGTGACTGTTGATACACAATTATAACCATCCCTACTATTATCCATCTCATTGCCAGGTGTACCCTGGGCTAGGCCAGACTAATCCAGGCTAACCTATATTGGCAATCAGACTCAAAGCACTTTTCTACCTTCTCTTTCCACCCTATATCCTACTACCCAATGAAAGGCAAAGGGTCAGGCTTCTTCTACCATTGCCTTGACTACTGGACACCATCATAGCCCTCTCAGAGCATCATGGGGTTCCCACTCAACTCCATGGAGACTGGCATTTTCACATCCACTAGGCACATGCCACTGAGTGAGACCGAAGTCTCCACGGTGTTAGCAGCCTCCTCCATGAACCCCGATGGCCTGCACTTGTACAGTTTGGGTGTTTGATAAATAAAGCACGTATGAGAAGAGAAAACAAAATAAATCAACTTTTTTAAAAGCCAGCACTGTGCTGTCAATGTTCTTCTTTTTTTTTTCCTTTTTTCTTTCCAATTCTAGCTTAAAAAAGCAGAAGTAAATAATGTCAGGTCAATGAATATCAGATATATTTTTTGACGTACATTACAGTGAAGTGTAATCTTTTTACACCTGCAAGTCCATCTTATTTATTCTTGTAAATGTTCCCTGACAATGTTTGTAATATGGCTGTGTTGAAAATCTATACAATAATTTTTTTTCCTTTTTCTTTCCAATTCTAGCTTAAAAAAGCAGAAGTAAATAATGTCAGGTCAATGAATATCAGATATATTTTTTGACGTACATTACAGTGAAGTGTAATCTTTTTACACCTGCAAGTCCATCTTATTTATTCTTGTAAATGTTCCCTGACAATGTTTGTAATATGGCTGTGTTGAAAATCTATACAATAAAGCTGTGACCCTGAGATTCATGTTTTCCTAAGATATTCGCTCTGGTGTCTTCCTGACGTTGGGTCGGGGTCAGGTAGAGATGAGTCAAAGAAGAAAGAGGAGAAAAACCTATTATCAGCTAGATTTCATTATATTTATGTTCACTTAATCCTTATATCTCTGACACCGGAAATAGTATCCCCTCTTTGCAGATGAGAAAGCTGAAGTTCATAAATATTAGGGGATTTTATGTGATTACACATTACACTATAACAGGGTTGGGTCTAAAACAGTTTTTCTCAAGTGTGGTCCATAGAACACTCAGGAAGTTTGTTAAACACACATATGTTTAAGTCCTGACAGAATCACAATGTCAGGATCTGCATATAACATATCATCCCAAAACTCAGTGACTTGAAACCGCAGTCCTTTAGGGAGGCCAGCTGGGGCTTGACTGATCTAGGCTGAGCTCAGCTGTTCTCAGCTGGCCTGCTCATGTGTGAATTATGGGCTCTATCTACTCCAGGCCAGGCTTGCCTGGGACACCTGGGCTGGTACAGCTCTGTACCAGGTGTCTCATCCTCCTCCTGGGCCAGCAAGCCAGCCTAGGCAACTGCTTCTCATGGTGATAGCAGGAGCATGAGAGAGAAAGTCCAATCATGTAAGTTATTCTGAGTCATGTTGGCAACATCCCATTGGACAAAGCTACTTGCATGACAATACTCAAAATCACGGAGCAGGGAAATACACTCCACCCCTTGACATAGAGACCCTGCTTCTCAATGTTCCAATAAATGCTGTGATTAGGTACCAAACTAATGGTGCCAGGTGCAGCCTTTAACCCTCTCATCTCAGAGTGGTCCATAGATTACCTATGCCAGTTCACCTGAGAAACTTCCAAATATGCAGAGTCTGATTCAGTAGATCCAGGAGGGTCCCAGGAATCCACATGCATACCCAGTGCCCAGGTGATAGTTAACACAACTATTTTAGACCCAACCCTTTTATAGTGCAATGTGTAGTCACATAAAATCCCTTAATATTTATGAACTTCAACTTTCTCATCTGCAAAGTGATGCAAGCACTATTCTAACTGTTGGTGCTGTTTGTTATAGAGAGGAAGATAGGGCCTGAGGTGACAAGGAGACAAACCAGTTCCCTAACTAAGGTATGAGGCTGCCAATCTCTGAGTTGAATGCACATGCTCTACTTTCCAAATGAGCAGGAGAAACAGCCAGAACCAACTCCTGAGAGTACCGTGGTTCCCTAGTTCTAAGTATGAGCTAGAAGCATGAGCCACAGGGCTGGGCCCAGGGTTCACTTTGTTCTCACGCAGCCTTGGGAACGCTGGCAGGGTTCTGCAACCTAAGGGACCTGGGTGTAGTGCCCAGCAGACCCCCGTAAGCCACAGAACCTGGGAACACGTGCTTCCCAGCTTGGGTCCTGAGTAGGGAACCTGGAGGCCAGCCAGCCAGTAATCCTCGTCCCTTTGTCCCTAGTTTTGTTAATCTCACTTATTCTGCCCACTGTATTTATTCTTTTTTGCCAGAAATGTCACAGTTGACTTTGGGAAAATAAAATATTTTGAAAGGTTAACACTTTACATATCTCCTAATAACAAATTTACTGTGGGGCCTATCATTTTCCCCCAAATGGAAATATCTTTTAGAGTTATTATAAAAATAGCATTTACTCACTTGAAAACCTCAATTCAAAATTGTTTGAGGCATAAGATGAAAGTAACCACTTCTCAAAGGTACTTACTAATATTTTTATGCCATTCCAGACCTTTCTACACAGATACCTACACACACACACACACACACACACACACACCCACACGCACACATTCTGAGACAAGCTTCTTTCCACTTAACACCATGCCATGGTCATATTTCCATGGAAATATGCTTAAATATCCCTTATCTGTCTTGACAACTCCCCAGTACTCCTGAGCCTGGCTGACCTGGTTTGGGTGCGTCCAGACTCAGGTGCTCTCACAGCGATGCCTCTGGGCCAGCATGCACAGTGAGGGATGCCACCCCTGTGTGCCCTGACCTGGACACTGACCAGAGTGGCACAATTCCCTTTACGTCAGACTGGAGCCAGGTGTAGGTTTGCAGAATCTGGGATATTTTGCAGCCTAAGCACCACCCTGCTCTCCACTCGGAGTGCCTGCAGGCTAGAGGCTGCTGTTCCAGACAGTCACCGCCTATCTCAGTTGATGGTTGAATGTGGAGCCTTGGCTTTAAGAGCCAACTGAGCCAGGAGGAAAGTTACCACCTCCTTCTGAATGACGAGGACCTGGTGGCTCTATGTGCCTAGAGAGAAGGTGAAGCCATCCCTCTATAAGTCATAGGGTGAGCAGGGCAGGACCAAGAAGCCATCCTTGTGATCATGACTGACTCCATCTCACCCCCGTCTCCTCTACTATATCTACAATGCAGAGTAAAAGCTGGGAATTCTGCCGCCAGGCCCGAGAGGAGTTTCCTCTGGTTAAAAGACACAGCAGCTAAAATGAGAATCACCAGGGGTTGATGCTGAATCATGCTTTGCTAGATCATGTAAAGGGGCCTCCAAGAAAATGAAGCATTTCAACCCTCCAGATGGTCTGCACTCACTCAGAAAACTGGTCAATCGTCCATTGCCAGCTCCTGGGAGAGGAAATGACATTAAGAAGAACCTCTGTGGGAGGGAGAACGGCAGGGAGAACCTTATAGAAATGCATGCTGAGGATATTAGCTTTCATGCCCCCATCTGATCGCCCCCGGAAGGAGCACACTGTCAGTGGAATGTGTACAAGACCAGGTGAAATAGATGCGTATCGTATCACTGAATATTCTCAGCCTCCCCTCTTCTCCACAGCTGTGCTCACCATGTCCAAGCAGACTTCTTCAGGTTTCCCGCAGGGACAGCCATGGTGCCTCCGCTCAAACAGGCACGCTGCACCTCTCTTCCTGCCCCAAGGTTCCTGATGCTGTGCTGAGATGCCCACAGGATCCCACTCATATGTGTGTCACCAAGGAATCCGGGGCGTTAAGCCCCCATGGGGCAACTTCTGACCAAGGGGAGACTGGAGCCTGCAGACAAATGAAATGCTTCCTCCTTTCTTTCCTCTGAAGGCGATTCTGAGCTATATTTCACATAACTTTTCAAGTGGTTCCAGAGTAAGCAAACAGACTCATAGAAATAGCCAACTCCATAACACAACCTTGTGTTGCCTCTCTCGCCCTCCTGCTCTGATTTACACCCCCACCCCCTTGCTCCCTGGATTTATATTTCCAAATAAAACATTGTCTGAGGCTTTGCATTAGGGGGACACCACCTGGGAAACTGGGCTTCAGCTACACACGCTACCCCATCCTCCAGCTGTTAGTCCGAGATGGGACCCTGCCACACACAGTGGGTGGCCAGCTATCCCAGGCTCATCCCAAGGGTCGCGTGTTAATTTGCTACTCAGATTTGGGAGCAGGGGCCCTACCATCTCATATTTTTGCTGAAAATCAAAAGCCTGTCCAGTAAACAGTAAGAGGGACTATCCATGGCCCCACAGGGGGCCCAATTTCACAATTAGCACAACCAACGGGGTACTGGCCAGTGGAATAGGGGAGTTATCTGGATGGGGGATTCAGGCCCACAAAGTCAGGAGCCTGCAGCAATTCTAACTGTGGTCCTGCCCTTGGCAGGACATGTCTCCTGAGGAACCATGTAGGCAGCTAGTTCCCAACGGGACAATGTGCCAGAAAAAGATAGGGGCAGGGGAGTTCCAGCCAACACTTAATGCAGATCCAAACCTCTTCAGGGCTGATGCAGCTTCCTGTGCTGAGAGCCCAGCTCTGGCTAAGTCCCCTGCCCCCACAGACTGTTGGATGTCTGAACTGGCAGAGAAAAATAACACTAAATCTCAGCTTCCTTCCCCTCCTCTCTCTTTCCCTCCACCGTGGCCTGGCAGCTCCCACCTCTGAGCAAGCTCAGAACTTCCCTTGTAAGGATGAACAAATAGGAAAACATCCCCAAGACACATAAAAATATGCAGGAGTTCAAAGCAGAGGTTCACTTTGAGGAATGAGAAAAAGTGCCTGCCCATGAACTCAAGTCCCTGCCAGGAAAAGGAACACGTTCTACAACAAACACAAATGAAGAAAAACGCTAGGTTTGATAACTGAATCCAAGAACCTTCTTTGTTGTTGTATTCAACAAAACAAATTACTGACAACTCTAATCAAGATAAAGCACAAATACCCAAAATTAGGAAATTGAAAAGAGATTTAATAGTGATTGAGGAAATTACACAGCATTTTAAAAGGATTATTATGAATAACTCTGGCTAGTATATTTTAAAATCTTGATCAAGTAGATAATTTTGGAAATTTATGAATATTACCAAAATTGTTTTTTAAAAATACAAGACCCAAGTGGACCAATTATCAGAGAAGAAAAATTTAAGTTGTTAATTCTCCTAAAAGATACAAGAACAGATAGTTTTATGAGTGAACTTGATCAAACTCTCAAACAAACAAAAATTTTTTATGCTGTACATACTATTCCAGAACAATGAAAACAAGGAAAAGCTTCCCAATCGAGCTAAAATAGCACAGATACCCAATCTAAAAGAGTAAACACACACATACACCTCTAAAGCCTCTAGACCAGTCACATTTAGTAAAGATTTTTACTAAATATTATTTCTTATTACATTTAGCTGCTTTTTAAGAATACTAAGCCATGTCCAAGAAGCCCGTATGTCAGGAATTCTAGAAGAGCTCAACATTAGGAAGTCTATAGGAAAAAGGATA